TTTCTTTCTTTGTGTAGATCCTTACTTAAATCTGGTATTATTTTCCTTCTGCCCAAAGGACCTTGTAGGACTGATCTGGTAGTGATAAATTCTTATAGTTTTTCATGTCTAAAGTATTTTATCTTTGTTCTTCAAAGTCAGTTTTTCTGAGGATAGAATTCTAGGTTGACATATTTTTCTTTTCACTTCTTTAAAAGTATTGCTCCACTATCTTCCCACTTGGTATTGTTTCCAAAGAGTAAACTGTTACTGTCTTTTGTTTCTGTGTTAACATGTTGTATGTTGTTTATATGTCTGCTTTTAAGATTTTATCTTATCATTGGGTTTGAGCAATTTGATTATCATATGACCCATTATGGTTTTTAGTCTAGAGTTAATTATTTCTCACTACTGAGGCAAGACCTTTTTGAATATTCTACCCAGTGCCCCATGAATTTAGAGGTTTCCCAGTCTTAACTGGTGGGAACATGCACAGTTCTTGGCTCTTATGAATGCTTGATTCTATGTCCTTTAATTTGTGTGTTTTTTTTTTTTTTTAGTCTGTTAGTTTCTTCGTAAAGCACTAAGTGCTTTGCTGAGTACCGAAAGGGTGCCCTTTTCAGATCGCTGGAGTTTTATTTCTCTGTGCTGCTCTCTCTTCTGGTACTGTATCATTTGAACCCTAGCTTCTTCGTCTCCTCAGACTGTTAGCTCCATTCCATTAGATCAAAGAATTTGCTGGGCTCTGCTTAAGGTTCCCCTCAGTTTTGGCTTAGAAACAGGCAGTAAGCTGGGGGTAATCACTTGTTTCTTCATTCTTCAGGATTCGCTATTTTCTGTTTGTTTTTGTTTTTGCTATAGGGCATGTGTGCTCACCAGAGAGAAATAACCCCACAGGGGAGGTGGCCACACTGCAATCCCTTCTCCTTTCTCCTCTCAGGATTTTGGGCACACATACACCTGACATGTTTTTCAAGCCACCGTCCAGAACTCAAACCTCAAGGTCAGCCATATAGTTTCCGGCTGTCTTAACCCCACCATGGCCTACCCCAAGAGTCACTGGTTTTTATTACTTATGTTCAATTCCCTGAAAACTGTTTTTTCATTCAGAAGGGTTATTTTATGGGTTGTTTGTTTTCATTATTTCAAGCATGAGAGTAAATCTGGTCCTTGTTACTCCCATCTTGGCTGTAAGAAGAAAAAAAATCTCCAGTTTGTTTTAGAGAGTTAGAATCTGTGGCTTCTAGGGACCCACAGATGGCGTAATGGCTATGTCACCGGACTCTCATGTAGTCGACCACGGTTCGAGTCCTGGATCCGGTGGCTTAAACTCATGCCAGGCACATTGTGCGTGCATGCCCACGATCCCAAGAGGAGAATGGAAGAGAAGGGATTGTGGCATGACCATCCCCCCAGGGGGTGATTTCTGTCTCTCTGTCTCTCTCTATTTCTGGCAAGTGCACGCACCTTCCAGCAAAAACCTCTCCAAAAAAAGAAAAGATCTTTGATTTATTTTTTTTAATTACATGCCTTTGACAACTCATTTTCTCATCCCCATGGTATCCTTTTCTTTTCTCAAAACACTTAACTATCCACATTTCTGCTTAGATAGTTGGTTAGGATTAACTCTGGGCTTTGAGTGACCCTTATTTATGATAAAAGCATATTATATAGAATGATGACAGTTAAAGATGTAACAGCAGAAAAATTGATGTTTTTTCTGATACAATCATGCACTGCATAATGATGTTTAGATGAGGGACTGCATATACAATAGTCAGTCCCATAAAATTATAAAAGCTATGCCATAGCCTAGGTGTGTAATCAGCTATAACATATAGGTATAAATACATTGTATGGTGTTCACACAGTAACCAAATCACCTACTAATGCATTTTCTCAGAATGTATCCCCATCATTAAGCAACCCATGACTGTAGTCTTCACATATTCACAGCTGTTATAATTTAGTCTTCCAGGATGTGGCCAAAGAGTTCCTTCCCTTCAGCAACCAGGCAAGTTAGATTTTAAATAGAATTTTTTATTTTTAGCAATTACAGAGCTATGCAACTAACAATTATGTTCTAAAGTAATTACAATAGCCTTTCTTTTATTTCAGTGGAAAGTTTTAAGCTGTAATATTAAATGGTGTGTAAGCTGTCTCAAAATTTACGTATTGTTTAATGGGGTAGAAAGATAGAGGGACCTTAGCTTTAATGCTAACACTTAATAGTTATATTACTTTATTTAAATATTTTCATGTCTGAGACTATTTCTTCTTATACAAAGTGAAGCTCATCAGCACTGTTCTAAAGGATTGCGTGAGATATGAATAAAAAATACTTTATAAATCAATGCTTTTCAGGATTTTTGGATGACAGCCCATTTAGAAATACGTTTTACATGGAGATCTCATTCATATGTATATAAAACCACAGGCCAGCCGGTGGCATGATGAAGACAGTTGGATCCCACATGGCCAACTGCACCATTTGAGCCTCGTACACAGTGGCTTATAAAACATGCCAGGCATGTGTGCATGCCCCAAATCCCAAGAGGCTAATGGAGGTGAAGGGAGCTGTGTGGTCATCCCCCTCGGGGTGATTTTTCACACTCTCACCTTTTTTCCTCCTGTCTTTCTGGCTAGTGAAAGTGCCTTATAGCAAACTTTAAAAAAAAATTTAAAAAAGAAACACAACACAAAACATTATTATACATGATTCATACTGATATTTTCTGTTCTAGTTTATTGAAAAGCAAACCTTTACTAGTGACCCAATTATGAGTCAGAGCTTATAATTTAGAATACATTGTCTATATTAAGGGAAAAAATGTGAGTTGACATATTAACCAAAAGTTGTGGTACTTAGATGACATACTTTTTTTTTTTTGAGAGAGATGTGCGCTCACCAGAAAGACACAAAGTGAGAAATCACCCCTCCTGGGGGATGGAATCCCCCACGCTGCAGTCCCTTCTCCTCCATTGTCCCCTTGGGATTTGGGGCATGCACGCACACGCGCCCAGTGCCCAAACCACCACATCTGGGACTCGAACCATGGTCAACTACACGGGAGTCCAGAGATGTAGCCATTACGCCATGTGCTGGTCCCAGATTGCATAGTTTTAGTTCTGTTACCAAGCTTTACTTTAAAACAATTTAAGTATAATATGGTTAAGTATGTATACTTTATTAACAGCTTATGTAAGATTATGTCCCCACATTTCCAGGTCTAGTCTTTTCCTTAATAAGTGGACATGTAATAACTTGTAAATTGTTAAAAGTGATATCTCTAAGTTTATCTTTTAAATAATAAGATAATATAATAATAATAATGTTTTTTTATGCTAAGGATTATGGCTTTTAGGCATCATAAGGTCCTAAAATTGATATCAGTTTTGCATCCTTGTTTTTTAATTACACAGTATTTCTTTTTTTTCTTTGCTTTTTTTTTGAAGAGGTTTTTGCTGTAGGGCGCGGGCTCTCGCCAGACAGACAGAGAGAGACAGAGACACAGAAAGCGAGAAATCACCCCCCAGGGGGGATGGCCATGCCCCAATCCCTTCCTCCATTCTCCTCTCGGTATCTTGGGCACGCATGCACACGTGCCCAGTTTGGGTTTAAGCCACTGGATCCGGGACTCGAACCGCGGTAGTCCAGCGACATAGCCATTATGCTAACTGCTGGTCCCGTTTACACAGTATTTCTTAAAATGAAATTTTTTTCCTGCTGTTTTCTTTATCACTTAAACAAGACTTACGATCAGAAAGACAGATGCTGTCATAGTAAAAGACTCCCTTGTAGTGAATTAAGTTTTTAGGATACTTGGTTTTCATTTGGTTTAGTAAAGTAATAAATGGCTAATAGAAGTTAAATCCATTATTTATAGTCTACTGGTTATAAGAAGTTTTAAACTGTTCTACATTTTATACAGACACAGAGAATACAAATTGCTGCGTTTTCCACAGAGGACATATAGGCTTTTGTAATCATTAAGAAAGTGAATTGGACTGGTCACTTCCCTACTGGTGATCTTCCATAGGTTCTGTTGCACTGGGGAAGTAGTACTATTAAAAACCTGCTGTCATTATCCCATTATTTTTCTTAGCAAACACTTTGTTAAACCCTCCTGTCACCCTTTTCCTAAGTTTAACCTTTTTTCTAGAGTTATGGTCCTGGGTTTAGAAAGAGACACTCACTAAAGAATTTATGTAACTAATAAGTGCATGAGAGGTAGCATGTAAATTTATAAATTTGTGTATGGTTTTTGAGCTTTTTTCTCAGCAGATAAACATGATCAAAATGTTCATGTTTTTTCTTTATATGGACTCCAGACCTTTTCCACACTTGTAGGAAATCTGTGACTGTGTAACACAGTGGAAAGAATTATATGATCTAATACTCAAATAATCTACTGCAAGACTTTGGATATAAAAATGTTTTCTTAATGTGTTTTCCAGATGTCTGTGACCTCTAGAATTGTTTTTCTCCCCACTTATTTTAAGGCTCCTAGATTGGCCAAATCGAACAATAGAAGTTAATGCAGTAGAATGCTTGAATTGAATAAACTAGAAAAAAGTATCTCTCTCTGGGAGACCATTATTATTGTAGCAGAAACAGTTTATAGATTCTCAACTCCCAAATGGTTATATGCTTAGGATATGGCATGTTAATTGAAATATTAAGTTAATAAAGAGTTGTAAGCCATGTAATTTTCAAATAATTAGGGAACAGTAGAATCTATGTTACAGAAATTATGCCGAACATTTTTTTTTCATTTTAATGTTTCTTTGAGTCAGGAGGTTATGAGTATTTAGATATACTGGTTTAAAGTATTACATATATTTTAATGTTTCATAAGGTATACTTTTCTTAATATTTCTCCCAGTATTTACTACATATTCTAGTATCTCTCATGGTGCTCTACATATTATAGTCACATAGCTAAGTTTACTGAAGCTACCAGCAATTTGATACAGTTAAGGAAACAAAATTCTGATTGATTCTGATCTGTTTCTTTCAGAAAAGTCACCATCCATGTAATGGATTTTATAGATCATATTGCTTTATTCTGAATATCATGGTAACAATACAGGAAGTATCCATAATTTCTCATTTCTACAAGTAGTCATGACTGCTGAAGAAAGAAAGTTTTAAAGCCACAGCACAATTTACTTGGTACCTTTCATGGAATTTCTGATTTTTTTGTTTGTTTAATTTTTGGTAACTTTGCTAAAGGTATGAACCAGCAAAGAACTTATCTTGTTAGGCAAGTCCACAGTAGTAAGAATGCCTAGAAGAGGACTGATCCTGCATACCCGGGTCCACTGGCTGCTGCTGGGCCTAGCATTGCTCTGCAGTTTGGTATTATTCATGTACCTTCTGGAATGTGCCCCTCAAAATGATGGAAGTGCATCTCTTCCTGGTGTCATTGGGGAAAATTATGGTAAAGAGTATTACCAAGCCCTCCTACAGGAGCAAGAAGAACATTATCAAACAAGAGCAGCCAGTCTGAAACGCCAAATTGCCCAACTAAAACAAGAATTACAAGAAATGAGTGAGAAGGTGAGATCATTTCAAGAGAGGAAAAATGCAGGGGCTAATGGCATCAGCTATCAAGGCAACAAAGAGCAAACACCAAGTGACCTATTAGAGTTTCTTCATTCCCAAATCGACAAAGCTGAAGTTAGTGTAGGAGCCAAACTGCCCAGTGAATATGGGGTCATTCCCTTTGAAAGTTTTACCTTAATGAAAGTATTTCAATTGGAAATGGGTCTCACTCGCCACCCTGAAGAAAAGCCAGTTAGAAAAGACAAACGAGATGAATTGGTGGAAGTCATTGAAGCTGGCTTGGAGGTCATTAATAATCCTGATGAAGATGATGAACAAGAGGATGAGGAGGGTCCTCTTGGAGAGAAACTCATATTTAACGAAAATGACTTCATAGAAGGTAATGTGAAACATATGTTAATCAGTATTTATGTTAGTACGACAAAATGCTAGTATGGTGTGTGCTGTTAATAGTCATTATCCACAGTATTAAAAAGTTTTAAGTGTTTACCAATTCATTCTACCATGAATTTTAAGTGATTTTTTAAAAAAAGAATAAGATCACAATAAAAGAGAATGGGGACCAGGGAAATGGAATAAATATAAGCTTAGATAGAAGAATACAAACTACTGAGGTCGATAGGGCTCTCTTGGGCTATGTGTGTATCCATGTGTTTGTGATTTCCATTGCTCTTTTATCTGGTCTTGATGAGCTTTTTTATGTTTTTAAAAATGGATTAACTTAGGCTTGAAATTTAAGAGCTATTTAATAAAGAAAAAATAATTGATTTAGTAGACTAGAGATTTCCATTTTCAGTGAAGGTAAAGCACATGTCAGAACATCAGAAAGGTATACATAGTTTTTAAAAACATATTTGGCATTTAGAAAACTAAGGAAATAACCTCTTTTCCTAATATAGACTGTAAAAAGGGCTTGAGGTTTTTTTTATTTTTATTTTTTTTTTTGTGGAGAGGTTTTTCACTATAGGGCGCGTGCGCTTGCTAGACAGACAGAGAAAGACATAGAGACAGAAAGTGAGAAATCACCCCCCGGGGGGATGGTCATGCCGCAATCCCTTCTCCTCCATTCTCCTCTCGAGATCTTGGGCATGCACGCACACGCGCCCAGCGTGAGTTTTAAGCCACCGGGTCCAGGACGCGAACCGTGGTCGACTACATGGGAGTCCAGCGACATAGCCATTATGCTAACTGCTGGTTCCTGGGCTTGAGATTTTTATATATCAAGATGGGACATGACTTAGGGAATGAGAGTCACTGCTATAAATTTAAAATATATGTTGATTGATAGAAACAAGTTTAATCGTGGATTCCCTACCCTTTGTCTTTCTTAACATCCCCTGCTAGATTTTTATTGCAAGCTTAAAATACTTGAGGATATTAATTTTTCTTTAAAGTTATCTTTGCTTGATTCTACAAATTAGTATACCAAATGTAGTTTTTCTTTACCCCCATCATTATGGCCATCACTTGTTGTATGTACTATTGTGTAATACATTAAGACCTTTTGCACTGCCTAAGAAGAAAGGGAACTATTCTAGTTTTGTATTCTGCAGCTGCTGTTTATCATATAACTCTCCTTGGCCTCTGTCATTTTCAAGATTTTTCCTTGCATGAAACAATTTTGTCCCTCACTTTTTCTCTACCGTGCCACTGCCCTTACCACCAATGTAATTACTTACAACAACTGAGTTACCCCTCTTCCTCTTCCAGACTTTAGCTTAGATGTCAGTTCTTCCAGGAAGTCATCTCCAACCTCAAGTCTAATATAGCAGTGCTTCCTGGGTCCCCTGTCATATCATTATGGCATTACCATTACCCACTTCCTGATTTGTAGTTCCTGCTAACTGTAAGTTTCAAAAGGGTTGAGACCAAATCTATTGATTGTTCACCATTTTACTCAAAGATATTGACTGAGTGACTCACACATCTGTAGGTATAACCTTCTCTCTCCTGAGTGTCACACGTAAAGATCAGAGTGCCAGTAGACAGCCATACTTTTCTCCCCAGAACATCTCAGATCACTGTGTTTAAAAGTATGCTAGTTTTCCTTGTCTGACTTTACAGATAAAGAATAAAAAACAGAGTTTTATAAAAATAAAAATTTGTGTATGTGGGAATCTTCAAAAAGTTCATGGAAAATACATATTATGAAGAAAATATGCACAGGTTTCAAGGGTGTTTTTGCACCAAAACAAATTTGTACTTTAATTCTGTTTCTCATGAACTTTTTGAAATATTTATGCACACACACACACACACACACACACACATATATATATATATATATATCAGATAACTATATAATGTTATTGTTTCTTTTTTTGACTCCCTCACTAGGTGGGCCTGTCCTCAAAACTGGGACCATGTGACTATATTACCAGTGACTGGAACTAAGGCACTTGATTCATTTTGTTGAGTTGAACCAAGCAATAGAAGTTTTGACTCTTACATACAGAATTTAACATTGCTTAGTGGTCTAGTTCTTTGGCACAGTGGTAATGCACTGCTCAAGAGAAGCTTGATCTCATAGTAACCGTTGTTCAAATAACTGACCCTGATCAGCTGGAAGGTCATAGGGCACATGTGCCAGTGTCTGAGATCTGATGGATTGGAGGATTGAAGTAATGGGATTACAGCATGGCCAGACCCTGTGGAGGGTACTCATCGCTTTCTTTCTCACTCTCACATATGCATGTATGCACTCTACCAGGAATAAAGAAAATAGTTTTTTTTTTTTTAAGTATTTCTCAAAGTAATTTCTTTGTCATGTGGTTATTATGTTGATTGGATCTACTATTAAGAGAGCATATGTAAAATGTAATAGTTGTCACTTGGACATATTTTATGGATCAAATAAGATGATAGCATAGCAGCAAATAGTTTTTTAACCATTCCTTCTTTTCCTTTCTTTCTTTCTTTCTTTTTTTTTTTTTTTGAAAGAGAGTGAGCATATGTATGTGGAAGGAGGAGAAAGAGAGCTAGGATCTTGCAATTGCAATCTACCCCCAGCCTCCCAGCTAGCTAAGATTATAGGTGCACACTGCCACATCAATTCTGTCCAGGTTGGTACAGGATCTGGTCTCATAGCAGCACCGTAGCAACACAGCCTGGCCTTTTCTTTTGAAGTAGTTGTTACTCACTATTCAGTCAGGAGAAATATTTTCGCAAATACAAAAAACTTTACTACTTTTATACTTTTGATCTTTGAGTAAAACTTGTATTCCCATTGAATTTGTAACTTTGATATGGAGACATCTTTGTTTCTCTTTCTTTTAGGTTATTATCGCACTGAGAGAGATAAGGGCACACAATATGAACTCTTCTTCAAGAAAGCAGACCTTATGGAATATAGACATGTAACCCTCTTTCACCCTTTTGGACCTCTCATGAAAGTAAAGAGTGAGATGATTGACATTACTAGATCAATTATTAATATCATTGTTCCACTTGCTGAAAGAACTGAAGCATTTGCACAGTTTATGCAGAACTTCAGGTAACTGTCATTATTTGGCTAAATTCTTAAGAAAAATCACATTCCATGCATGTTTACCTAATTTATCTTCACCAAATGTGATTACTTAGAATTATAAAATAAATTCATAGGCTTTAGGGGAACTTTTTAATTTTTTCTTCTTAAAGCATGTATTATTAACAATTTGAACTATGAGATTAAGGTTGACAACTTATTAAAACAAGATTTGATGACCTTATAATTGTGTATGAGTGATGGAATATAGACATGTAACCCTCTTTCGCCCTTTTGGACCTCTCATGAAAGTAAAGAGTGAGATGATTGACATTACTAGATCAATTATTAATATCATTGTTCCACTTGCTGAAAGAACTGAAGCATTTGCACAGTTTATGCAGAACTTCAGGTAACTGTCATTATTTGGCTAAATTCTTAAGAAAAATCACATTCCATGCATGTTTACCTAATTTATCTTCACCAAATGTGATTACTTAGAATTATAAAATAAATTCATAGGCTTTAGGGGAACTTTTTAATTTTTTCTTCTTAAAGCATGTATTATTAACAATTTGAACTATGAGATTAAGGTTGACAACTTATTAAAACAAGATTTGATGACCTTATAATTGTGTATGAGTGTATTTTACAACAGGTTGACTTTTTTTTTTTTTTTTTTAGTTTTTGCGATAGGGCCCATGCATTGTATAAGAGAGAGAGAGAGAGACAGGGAAAGTGAGAAATCATCCCCAGTGGGGATGGACATGCTATATTCCCTTCTCTTCCACTATCCTCTCAGGACTTTGAACATATATGCACACATGCCTGGTGTGCTCTTCAAGCCACCAGGTCCACGTCATGACCTGCACAGTTGGCCATGTGGGATCCAGCACCTTAACCTTTATACCACCTTCTAGCCCAGGACAAGTTGAATTTTTAAAAATGAGCTTTATGGAGGCATTATTTACATACAATAAAAATCTACATATTTAAAGGATTTAGGTTTTGTGACTTATGACAGAATGTGTACATTCACAACTACCACACCAATCAAGATACAGAACATTGCTATCCCCCAAGAAAACTCCCTAGAAAACTATTTGAGTTTTAAGTTGGAAATAAATTAAGAAGTATAGACATTCAACTAATAATAGGAGAAAGTTATTCCATCTTGGGAAGCAGAGAATTTAGTTTTTTCTTTTTTGTCATTACACATGAATATTTTTTAAATACTGAAGTGTTAAAGAATTAATGACTGTACATTAGGATAAATATTTGAGGAAAATATTGCTATTTAGCTTTAATAATTGCTGTATATTAAATACTTTAATTTAAAAATATTTTAAATGCTTTAATATCCTAGTTTTAATACTTCATGATCTTAATTTTTATTTTCTTATTGCTATTTTGGATTGTAAAAGTTAGTTAAGGGACCAGTAGGTGGCATGGTGGTAAAGGCGCTGGACATTCCCACATGGCTGACCATGGTTCAAGTCCTGAACCTGGCAGCTTGCTTTCTCACTTTCTCTCTCTCTCTGTGTCTCTCTCTGGTCAAAATAAAATAAATAAATGAATAAATAAATTTTTTTAAAAAGTTAACATTAACAGCAGACTATCTAGAAGTCATACTCCCAAATGAATTTTACCTGTTTGAAATAGCTTGATTGAGATCTGATTTCCTAAAGCATTTTTTTATTACCTTTCTTAACAATGCCTTCAGAGGCTACATTATCCTTTTCAGTAAATAGTCTCAGTCATGGGACCAGCAGATGGCATAATGGTTACGTTGCTGGACTCCCACATCGTCGACCACAGTTTGATTCCCAGACCCAGCAGCTTAAAACTCATTGGGCACGTGTGAATGCATGCCCAAAATGCTGAGAAGAGAGTATAGGAGAAGGGATTGTGGCGTGTCCATTCCCCCCGGGAAGTTCTTGCTTTCTGTCTCCGATGAGTCTGCACCCTATAAGAAAATATATCTCTTAAAAATAATAATAATATAATTTTAGTTGTGGCAAATATTTATTCCCTGATGATAGATATAATTTTTGGAATTAGCCAGTCTGAAGACAAAATAACTCTGGACCCAAAACTTGAATATTTATTTATTTGGTTTTGAACTCATTGGATTTATTGCTTGAGTAGCTTATAATTTGCTTCTGAAAGAAATCCTAAAGCAAAAGTTCCAAACCTTTATAGAAATATGACAACAATGTTGGATTGCTCCCATAGCCCTCTAAGGGTTGCACTCATTGAGACAGACTGCATTTGCTGTAATACCATCAAGAAGAATACAGCAATATTTACCTAATGCATCATGTGATTTCATTCTATATCAGTAATGCCTCATTTTTCATTGTTGTTAAAGCTTCATGTGATTACTTTCTGAATGGACAATGCCTCGTGTGTTTTTTAAATAAACTTTATTTTTCAATTCTGTTAGGGATGTTTGTATTCATCAAGACAAAAGGATTCATCTTACAGTGGTGTATTTTGGTAAAGAAGGATTGTCAAAAGTCAAGTCTATCCTAGAATCTGTCACAAGGTTGGTGAGCCATGTCCACAGTGAAGTCCTTGATACATAATGTTATTAGACGAGAGAATTTCAGTTATCTAATGAGTTAATAATGTTGAAAACCCACTGTTTAAATGTTGGCTCAGCATGTGGGTGGCATTGGTAATAAGTTCATTTCACATGTAACCCTATGTGGCATGTCTTCCCTTAACTACTTAGCAAGCAGCCTGGATGATCAGGATGCTTTCCCCTGGAGCCCATTTATGTACTACATATTTGCTGCTGCTTTACCTTTTTCTAAATCTTATCCCTTCACCTTGATGCCATCTCCTGAGCTTGTCTCCTGCTTGTCACCTTCCTTTTCATTTTCTCAAGCTCCTTCTCTTCCCTCAATAAAGAATGTGTGGGTCCCCTGTGTCCTTCAGAAACCCTTACCTGATTCAGCAAGTAGCTACTGTTACATTCTGTCCTTTTACAACTAAACCCCACCGAACAGTAGTTCTGTATGTAACTAAGCAACCTTTACAATACCTGGCACATAGTAGGCGCTCAGAGGTTTTAATGAATCAGTAATTTCTTAATACTTAAGTATTAATTATTGAGCCTTTCATCCCTTTTGTCTCTTAAGTAGTGGGCCCAAAGTTACAACTTAATGCCAGATTCAGCCTTTTCTCTGTTATCCCCTTCGATTGCTTTTTATTTGACAACCTCTAACTAGTACTTCTTTCTTAAAATGTTTTTCTTATATTTGTAATGCATATATGTTTTATAAATATGGATATGATGTAATGTAAACTATTAGGTTTAGTGTCTTCTCTAACCCCACCAACTCTATCCTTTACTTGCTCCTTTACCTTTCTGCCAGTTGTGGCCATTCCCTAAGAGTCCAGATCTGGGTAACCATCCTTCTCGAATCATTTAACTAACATTCCTTGAATCCTACCTCCTGTGTTCCAGGTACACTGCTGACTGGGGTGTTTGGGAAAAGACAGGGCATAGATGAGTGAATCTCAGTCCATGCCTTGTGGGGACTCTGACAGCCGTGATGTATATAAATGTGACTCACCATTCTCTCCTTCCCTGCACC